GCCGTAAGTCCAGCCATTTTCTAAAAAGAATGACATGCCCAAAAGTTGAAGGTAATGGATACGAAGAGGGTGATGGCAAGGGAAATGGAGGCGAGGCTAGGGTACCCAAGTGGCGGACGAAGGATTTAGTGATAACAGTGAGAAAAATATGGCCAATCGGTTGAAGATGGAGGTCCAACTATTTCGAGTCCAGAACCAAAATGTGGTTCTTTTGGACTCAAAGAACCAAAATATGTGGGGGGAAACTGGTGACCATAATATATATATATAACGCCTTTTTATAAAGCGTTATACTTTATCGGTTGTTTGCTCAGTTAAGTATAGTGCCCTTATTTAAGGCGTTATATTTGAACGCAAACGGGCGGGAATGTATAGTGTGCTAACTNCCATTGCTAACCAAAAAAACTCGAGTGGAGCCCACCGGTCCCATAAAAAGTGTAGATTCTCCGTCCCACATCGTATCTAAGGCGTTATCTCGTAGTGGGTTGCTTGTTTAGGCTCCAAATCACCAAATCCTCAACTTTCCAAAAATTTTAAATCGAGGTATTCCGGCTTATTTTATGTTAAAACTCATATATAAAAAATGCCTGTTAGTTGTCTTTACTGTGTTCTATGTTATTTCGTGATTGTTTTGCGATATGATTAATTTGTTATTTTTTATCCGGATTATATTATTAGTTTGGTAAAAATAATAGTAAAATAGAGAAATTGTTATTATTTGTTAAAAAAAATATTAATTAGTTACTTTTTACTGTGGTATATATTTTTTCGTGATTGTTTTGTGATTAAATAAATTTATTATTTTTATCTGGTTTAGATTATTTATTTGCTAAAAGACTAGTAAATAGATAAATTATTATTTTAGAAATAATTAATCTTATTTAGATGTTATTGTTGTACATATATGAATATGTGATTTAAGTACCTGTTAAACCCAAAAATATCTCAAAAAAGCTGATAGTTCAAACACAATCTCTTTCCAAACATATAAAATAATAAAATAACATATAAAATATAAAATTATAATATAGAAAATGTATCAACCTAATTAACAATACAGTAAAAATATCGAATAAATTTTAATATTAAAGATATTACAATATATTTAAAGATGTTAAGCAATAAAAAAAAATACTTTAATTAATATTATTTAATTTACAGTAGTCGTCATGGAGGTTCCGCATGTGCATCCCGGACCTGCCTCGCTAGAGCTACTGTTACTACAGGTCGAGCATAGGTCTTCGTACATATGGGAGGGGCAGTTATTGGCCCAGACTTTCTGTGCTAGAAGAGTAGACGATATGTGAGACTTTCTTTGGGTCCACTATCTTCATCCTCGTATAGTCAGACTCCTTGAGGATACGGGTTTCTATAGGATTATTGAGATCAGCTGGATGCAGCTGGATTGATCGTTAATCACGGCTTTGATAGAGCGGTGGTGACCGGAGACGCACACATTTTATTTACCCATTGGCGAGGCTACTATCACGCTTCAGGACGTGGAGGTTCTGTATGGGCTGCCGGTTGATGGACACTCTGTAGCTTTACCGCATGCTATTAGAGATTATACGGGATTGCAGTACCTGGAGATATTGCAGCGGCTCACCGGTTTCCAGCCAGTAGATGAGGCTGCATTGGTTGGGGCTAGTCGTCTGCAGTTGACGCCCGTCCGGCTGCATCTGGAGGCAATGCATACATATATTACGGATGATACACCAGATCTTCATATTAACCGATACACGAGGTTGTTGATGCTGCTTATGTTTGGAGGTATATTGTTCCCGTACACTTCGGGAAACCTAGTCAGCTTGAGATTTCTTCATCATCTTGAGCGACTAGATGATTTACATGATTATAGCTGGGGTGCAGATGTTCTTGGTTACTTGTACAGGCAGATATGATGGGCGAGCATGGGCACGCAGCGAGACATTACCGGATTTTTGCCGCTGATGCAGATGAAAACATAGTCAATTATTTTCATGATTATAACATACATAGTCGGCGAGGACGTGGTCCCCAACAAGGGGGCGTTAAGGCACCTGTTGAGGATGTTGGAGTTGATCAGTCGGGTGACCACCATGAGCCAGACCATGCTCCTAGAGATATGCCGTCATTCAGCCTTCAGCTTACTCCAGGGACTTCACAGGTGATCTCGTCAGCTCCATTGTTGATCGCGGGCACGACCATTACGCGATAGGAGTGGGATCAGTATTTTCCTGATCCTCCAGAGCCATCGACGGTTGCTGATGATCGTCCGACACGAGATGTGGATAGTGGGCGCCGACTAAGTTATGGCTCATCATCGAGGGATCTTTTACAGTATTTGGTTCGTTTGTATTACTATTATTTATATTTATTTTTATCTCATTGATTAGTCATAAATATCTAAAGCATTTTTTTAAGGCATCATCCTCGCCCGTCACGGGGGCCACTTTGTGCGATACTGACATGCCTGAGACAGATGATTATATTCAGGGGTTCGTCGAGACCATGGTAAGAAAATTTAAATTTTTTTAGCTAATACGTACATTACTAATATATATTTCATATACTAAAATATCTTATTATTCTGTAGGTTACTGCTGGACCGACGGCCTCTTCTATCGAGCCTGCCAACCTTACTGACGATCATGATGCAGCGCATCCTCCGATAAAGAGAGGACGTGATGAGAATAATCCTGATAGTATAGCCGGGCGGGATGGGATACGTCTTAGGCCAGCAGCTGCTTTAAAGCATACAGGTTGTGGGACACATTGACTTTTTTTATTTTATGTACATATGACATTCAGTAAATCATAGCAACATTATTTATGGTTTACATTATATGCGCATTATGTTTTTATTTCTCGGGTTCTTTGTTATTTTAATACTACGATACAAAAATAAACATAGCAACTTAACATAATTTAAATTCGGTACAACTAATGAAAATACATGACACGGAAAGCATAAAGATAAAATACTATACTCAAAGAACCAAAATGTGGTTTCTCCTGCACTGTCGCAAGTTGTCGTTGTAGTTTATGAATGGATTTTTACAAAATTCTTAACCTCTTTAAATAAGGAAAAAATCAGTCTGGGGTACAATTATTTGAGGTATAGCGCCTTAAATATGGGCGTTATACCCAGTTGAATTATTGTTATGTCAGTTAAGCCCAGAAGAATCATTGGTGAGTCACATAATATATATAGTGCGGTAAGTTAGGATGTTATATATATAACGCCTTAAATAAGGGCGCTATACATAACTGGGCAAACGGCCGTTAAGGTATAGTGCCTTATAAAAGGGCGTTATATACATTATGGTCACCAGTTTCTTTTTTCACACATTTTGGTTCTTTGAGTTCAAAAGAATCACATTTTGATTCCGGACTTATGTATCCCATACCATCTTTGATTTTTGGCATGTTCGTTTCCCTGAGATGAGGTTTAAGACTGGAGAAGAAGAAAGGGGGTGGTTAGGGGAGTGGGTCTGGTAACAAATACTAAGGCCAGATCCAGTTAATGGGTCGAAACTAAACTCAAATTTGATTTCTAAAAAACGTGTCACGTGGCCCAGTAGAAAATTACAAAGCATTAATTTGAAGGCCCACCTGGTCATGAATTAGTTCTCTAAGTCATGAATTAGTTCATGACAAAAGACTTTGATCTTCTCTACATTAAAGAATTGATGTTCTCTAATAGCCAACTAAGAAAAGAATTAAGGGATCGTTTGGTTTGAATACCCCTTATGCTGAGATAAGTTATGTTGGGATTAGTTATGTTGGCATAAGTTATGCTGGATTATTTTTTATCCACTATTTGATATGTTATATTAAAAATGACATTCATTGCATAATTTCTAAGAAGTTGTTTGTTTACAAAAATACCCTCTATCTTATTTAGCCTCCATCTTCTTGCTCCTTTATCCAATTGACATTTTAATTCTCACATCAACAAGTATTAAATAATTTTTTGAGGCTCTAGTTTTCAATTGTTTGAAATATATCTACTGATTTCTTCTTCTAAATCTTCTTCCTAACTTTAATCCATGTTTCCTTCAGATGTAAGATAGCTAATTGCCATGTATAATACTACTGATTTCTTGGTCTTCTCAATTTTCATGGAATGTGTTGCGATTTGAAAAAAAAATCCACATTAGAGGTTCAAACCAAGATCCACAAGTTGTGAGAAAAGCAAAATGGAAGATTATATCAAAGTTGTTCTTCAATCACTACAACATAGCTTCTACATCCAAAGAAGAGAAGAAATCTTCCCCAAGAGCAAAGAAATTTGTAGCGGCATTGCTTTACCAATGTTGGGTAAAGAATGGGAAAAGTGATGTAGCAAAAGGGTTCGAGGCCCTTAGGGCTATTTTGGTGAATTTCGCTATTTTGCCGTGGGATAATAATCCCAGCATTAATTATCCCACTTCTCGAGAGGTATAAGTTATGTCAGTATTAATTTTAATATCGGAATAACTTATCTCAAGTTTGGTAATCAAACAAGGTATAAAGTGGTATTAAATTTTTATACCAACACCATTTTTACTTATCCCTCCTACCAAACGACCACTAAAAAAATTTAAATTTGGAACTTGAGAGGATGGTTGATACTGATCCTCCCCATTCTACAGCGAAAATAACTACATGTCATTTTGTTCGTATTCTAAATTCAGTTAGGCATATTAATAAGAAACCTTCATTTTTAACGTTTTCTCTATCTGTCAGATTTTTCTTCATTACATTTGTTTTTGCTTAATAATTCATTGTAGACCCTACATTGAGAATATTCAGTAGAAAAAAAAAAAAATGGACGAGGGCGGGCTAATATGAGTAGATTCAAATGCACCTTTTTGGAAGTAATACGTACATAGAAAAAATATTGAAGTATGCAAGAAAGATAATTTTTCTTCTGAGAAAATGGAAAATAGAACATTGAAAATTGTAAAGAAAATTAGCCATCAAGAGAGCACAATTTAAAAAAAGAAGCTAAAATTGAAAGTAGGACAATCTTGATCTATTCAGTAAACTTTCTTTTTCCGAATAGTGTCCGAACAGCTACACCTCAACTATTACACCATTGAAAACCTGCTACCTCCCACCCAACACAAGTACAAGATAATGCCTAACAACAAATAGAAAGAAATCACCTGACATTTTTTAATCTTTACTAAGTTTTGGAGCCCGGTCCCCACTACATGTTCATTGATCTTGTGTAGGTTATGTTTAAAAAACAAACCATTCTATATCTCAACTCAATACATAGGAGGAGATGATTTGTTATCTTGATTCCACAAAACTCTTCACTTCCTCTGTCACTTGGCCCAGGCAAGCAACAATAAAATTTATCATGATCATATGATAAATAATGGGAACCAATAACTACCCTACTAAAACACAAATCAAAATTGACAGATTAGCTAATATTTTCCCTATATAACTCAAAACCAATATTTAGAAACTACATTTACATTATGATTTGGGCAACGGCCCTTTTTGCGCGACATATTTCCCATATTTCTTCAACACCGCATCTTCTGAAGAAACATCCCATAGCTGCAAATGATAAGCAAAGACAAATTCTCAGTCATTTACAGCCCAAAAACCACAGAAACTAGAGCCGCAACAAACTAATCCTTTCAAAGAGAACACAACTTACCTGCAACTTCCCTTTAGAACCACCAATAGCAAGAAAAAAGGGGCAATCATCTGAGAAGGAAACAGAGAAGACAGCTCCCTGATAACAAAATAAAACGAAGTGGTCGTCATGATAGTACATCAATCAAAATGTATAACCGTCTAAAACCTTGTGTTCATGAAAGGTTGAAAGAAAAATATGTATCAAATAAATATTCAACCACAAAAATTTGCAAATCACATACGGCTTTTGGATTCCTTGATGCAATACAAGAAGGTTGATTGTTGCTCAGATCCCATAGTTTAACCTGCAGCACATTAATTAAATTAATCAGTGGAATAGCTCTCATCCCCCGGAATAAATCAAAACTAGGTACTAAGCAGCGAACAGAGACAACAAGAAAGTACCATCTTGTCCGTGGAACCAGTTGCAAGAAGCTGCCCAAAATACACGGGGAAAATGAGTACGGAAAAACGAATTAAAGGGTAACGCAAAAAAAAAGTTTCACATACATTTGGGACTAGAGGATTAAAGGACATCGAGGACACTGCTTTATCATGAGCATGGATGGTGAAACTTGGCTTTGTCGCAGAACTCGAATCAGAACTAGCAGCACGGATATCAAAACTAGTAACTGTACCATTCTCCAAGCTGACCTGAAAGTTTTACGGAACTCTATTCTGGTCAGCAATTCCTAATGTCCAATACACATCCAGATTAAAATCTCCAAGTAGAATCTCCAAGTAGATTTTAATACGGATTTATTCATCCTAACAAAAAAACTTTTAGGTCTCATACAGTTATAGGGAACAGAAATTTAGTGATTGGCCAAGGGGAAAAGATTACATGACAGATTGAATTTATCTAGTTTTTATTTTCATTTTAGTCCATAGGAACTAGGAAACAGATAAATACTTCTCTTTTTCTGCATTAAATAAAATTAAGTGTCAATCAGCAAGCAAATAGATTATAGATAAACTAATATGCACATAATTTCAATGTCATCCCCCCCCCCCCCTTTTTCCCCGATTCCATAGTATATTTACCTAACCAACAGACATAATCCCATCCTTTAGTTACCATACTAATGGCCCCATGTTGAGAAAATTATTCACAATCTCCACACTAACGATTCCCATAACAGAACTAAAGGTACTATCTAATCATGTAGCATACCAAACAAACAAAGCCTTGAAAAATAGATTGGGTAAGTCATAAACAGTGCAAGCACTGACCACAAATGAATGCTCAGAATGTGGATCCCAAGCCAAGCTTTCAACGTCAGCGGAAACTGGAAACTTATATCCACTGTGAGATGGATACCTCACATCCTTCTGCAAGACATGTTGAAAGTTGAATTAGCATCTTAAACTAAGAAGCTAATCCACAGTCCTAGCTTTCCAAAACAAAAAAGGGCAAAAAGGAAGAAGGAGAAAAGCTTTATCACCAAGCAAACTGTATGATCAAATGACCCACTCAGAAGAATCTGTGATGCAAATGGATTCCATGCAACTGCTTGAACCTGACAAAGCAGAGCAAGATGATGAATCTGCTTCTTTCATAATTTTGTAAGCAAGCTGCTGATTAATGTTTTACAAATAATTCAATTTTGATCAGATAGAATTTCAAAGAATAGTAAATGCATATTGTTTACTTTAACATGCAGAAGAGGTCTCCTACATAACAAAAGACTATAAGTGTATCGGGGGGTTTTCGGTCCTTGATACAAAACAATATGATGTTTAAACAACATGCTACAAAATTTTGGATTCTACCTTGTCAGTATGGTCGTTCATAGTGACAGTACAGCTTCTGGTATTCACATCCCAAACCTTGACTGATTGATCAGCACTAGCACTGGCAAGCATATTCCTGCGTAGAATGTTGGGACAAGCCAACATATGAACTTTGACTATACCTCTCTAACGCAATCATACACTGATCAATCAGTGAACAATCAGAAATCCATACCTATATTCCTTGTTCCAAGCGAGAGCAAGTACTGAATCGGAGTGGCTATCCTTTTTGTATTTGATGGTTTTCTACAAGTAAGAAAAAAAAAAAGTTTTTTTTTTAGAATTAGGTAAATGGCGCATAAGAAGTAAGTTTTGGGTTCACACAATTATCAAATCGTAAAGACCATCCACCATGCAAACTATCATTCCTTTTCTTTCATTTTCTAAAGAATGAGGTTTTAACACTGGTATTTGGTATGTGTTAAATAACTCTCACAAAATTGACCAGATTTGCTGCCATGACAGAAAAACAACAAAATGGTTATTTAAAGGTAGTTTCTCTTTTTTCTTTTGATGGGTGAAGAGGTAGTTTCTCTTCAAACCATATCATTGGTTAATTTAATTTTTAATATAGAAACTAATAATGCCAATAATCGACTCCTCGGCACATATACGCTTGCCCTGCATCGCATGCATAGTGTAGAGTAGAGGCGCAGAGAGTGAGTTAACCAAGAACATGTCAGTTGAACTGAAGTCCAAGCCCTTCAGACATCCAATAACAGAAATCGAAAACTAATACACTGCAGTTCCAACTAGCTGCTTGAATACTCAGACAAGCCTCTTATACATTAGAGCCTAACAATATCAAGAACATCACCACCTCAAGTTGCTCACATGGCCATCAATTAGAGCCTCTTAGACTACTAATATGGATAGTTCCTACCTCATAATATCAAGCATGAAAATACAGTACTATTGTGAAGATCGGGCAAGCCCAACAATCCATGCATTAATGAGTTACACTGCAGCATGGAGACACCAATCGTTGAATTATACGCAGTCAACTCTTTAACAATTTAGTAGGGTATCCCGCAAAAAAAAGGTCCACATTGGCGTTGAGGTATACGCAGCCCTTGTTTCCTTTGGACGGGAGAGAAGGAAATTTATTAACAGCATCATATATAAGTGGAAGATGACAGCCCTACATACATGAAGGAAGAAGGAAATTGGGACTACTAGAGATAAAAGCCTAACAATGACCATCAGTGATAGCCAAGTGTTGAAATTAACCTACTACTTTATTCTAAGGCTGACAAGTGGGCCGGTCTAGGCCCGGGACCGGCCCGGGACCGCGGGCCAGGACCGTTTGGACCGGTTTTAGTGGGCCTGGGCCGGTCCCTAAGCTTTGGGCCCACCAGACCCGGGACCATTTGGCCCGCCAGGGACCGGGACCGGACCGGTCCCTTAGCGGGCCAAACGGTCCCAACGGCTATTTTTTTTATAAAAAAAAAATACGTTGGCTATTTATAAAATAGCCATTTAACCCAACCCCCAACTTTGCTTTAATCCCAAACTTTTTATAATTACACTTTTTTCCTATTTTCNGGTCCTATGCTTTGGGCCCGCCAGGCCCGGGACCATTTGGCCCGCCAGGGACCGGGACCGGACCGGTCCCTTAGCGGGCCAAACGGTCCCAACGGCTATTTTTTTTATAAAAAAAAAATACGTTGGCTATTTATAAAATAGCCATTTAACCCAACCCCCAACTTTGCTTTAATCCCAAACTTTTTATAATTACACTTTTTTCCTATTTTCAACTATAAATACCCCTCATTCTTTCATTTTTTCTTACAAAATCATCAATCTATCACAATCTCTCTCTAATTTACTTCTATAATTGCTACTATTGCTTACTTTATTGTTCCAATTTGTGAAACAATTGTGAAGTTGGTGAATTGAAGTCTTCAACGATAATCAATTTCCAACAAGTTGTTCGTCAATTCGGTAAACTCGTTCCAACTCTTAAGTTTTAATATTATAATTTTGTTTGTTTTATTTATTTTCTATTACTTTATTAATTAAGATGGCTTCCTTAAAATAACTTTTTAGTAAAAATAAGGGAAAATCCAAGAGTGACGAATCTAGTGCTCAATTTGTTCCTCCCCCACTGCCCCGGGCTCCCCGAACCAAACTCCATATACGTCCTACACCTGCTATTCTTGATAGCGATAATAGTTTATTACAATTTACTGAAAGTCAATTTTGCCATAATATTAGAGCTGGTGAACAATTAGACCATGAATTAATGAATGCTCTTTATTCTAATCCAACTATTGATGAAAATGATGACGAGGAAATAGATTTTGATGAAACTTAACCGGATGATGATACACCAACTAGTCTTGCTCCTTATGTTAATCCAACTAGTGATAACCCTGCTAATCCAAATGATGCCCCATCTGATACTCCTGTTACTACTCCTACTTTTTCTAGACAACCTAGCAAACGGACGGAAACATCTCCCATTTGGCCATTTTTTACTCGACTAATTCCAGAAAATAAGGCTAAGTGTAAAACTTGTGGCACGAAGTTAGTTTTTAAATATTTTGGATCGCGGGGGGACGGGAACTTTGGCTAGACACATAATGAAACACCCTCAAGATAGAGTGAGATATCTTCGTCTGAAAGCTTTGGCCGAGGGGAAAAGTCTACCTACTCCTAGTCAGGTTGACCTTAGTACTGGTTCAAATCAATTTCAACCGGGAATTAACACTGTTACCGGTGGTATTTTATATTATGATCCAAAAAAA